CTCCTTGGATTGAGATAGACCTTCCCTTCAGACTAGTTCTGAATTTTGGTTTGACAAATATCTCTATCCCCTTAAGATTATAACAACTTTGTCTTTTAACAAAATTTCTTTGGACATTTAATGGTAATATGTTATTTTGAGCCCTATACATAACTGATAAAATACTATAATCTATCAAATCATGGAACTTCAATAACTTCAGTTGATAAAATTAAATTAGGAGGCGGCCAGTGGAACAATGAGGCTACAAGGAGTAGAGGTCACAAAGGTGCAGGGCTTCAAGTACTTGGGGTCCACTGTCCAGGAAATAGGGGAGTGGATGGAGATGGAGATGGAGGAGGATGACCCACTGTGGCGACTCCTAATAGGGAAAAGCCAAAAGTAGTAATATAAGAAGAAAAAGAAGATGGCAATGCATTAAAAATGCTTTGTGAGGATTCTTATAAATAGATACACGATAATACACTTAGACAGAAACACTGATGAGCCTAAATACAATAACATTTCTATTAGAAGTTACCATAAACCAGCCACCAGGGAGCACAAGCCAGTTTTTATGTTTTGCTGGTCCTATGCCCGGCACAAGCCTGGCCCGATAAATTGTGAGCGTTTTGTCAGGAAGGGCATCAGAAGTAAAAACTAATATGCATGTTCAACAAAAGCGACACCATACCAGATTGGTCCAGGCCCGGGTTAACAACGACCACCACCAATGCTGTTGTCAAAAATGGTGCTGGCGGAAATAATGCTATTGTTAGTTGAAGACCACAAGAAGGGAAATGTGTCAGGAGACAGAAGGAGAAGAAGAAATTCAAGAATGTAGGACTGAGGGTGGCAGCTCTAAATGTGAGGACAGTGACAGGAAAAGGTAGAGAGATGACTGACTTGATGCAAATGCAGATATGATTGCAAAGTGGCCAACATCAACGACTGCTTCCCTGACTTCATAAATTAACCCTAAACAAAAAGAATATTTCTAAAATTTGCATGTAGATTGTCAAAGTTTTTGAAAATCATACAAGACACCAAACCCGACTAAACCATCACGTTGCATATTGTTTATGCTGATTTATAGTCAGTTCATATACATGTATGTATTTGGTAGATTCAAAAAGACTTAGATGAATTTAGAGTAGATTTTAAAGTGGAATTCAAATGAATGTCAAATAATAAAAATGTCATACCTTTAATGTAATGGTTTTGACATCATTGCATAAATGGTTACTGAAAAAATAATTTGTGAATATAGCCTACAGTACATAAAAGAGACATATTTTTCTTTTCTGAGCTACCTTTTTTCCCACTCAAAATTGGACATTACATCCAATTAATGCGATTATAAAAAGTGATGAATGTAGACAGGATGGGCCTGGAGTGTCTAAAAGTGTTCAGCTATAAATCTGAGTTCAATTTCAGCTGTCTGAAATAAAATATACATTATGTGTCTGCAAGTGGTTTCAGGTCATATTTAAACTTTAGATTTAAATTAACTTGTATATGTTGATTTGTTTGTTTGTTTTGTAATGCTTTGTTTTAAGTGCGAGTTGCTCTGAATGGAGTTTTTCAGTCAACTTTTAGACAAAAGCATTTTTGTTTCATTTTTTCCTTCTTTTCTGTAGTGAGGTCAACTGTGGGCTGTAGGATGTAAGAAATGAAGCACTTTCCCACAAAATGTGGTTGATAATTGGCATTTTGACCAACTCACCAAATTCAACCATGTATTAACTTGACAAAAGTCAAAGTATGATTAACACTTCAATGATTTAAAATAAATATGTGTAAGTCACTTTGAGTACAAATGTCACATTTTAGCCACTGGGAAAGCTTAGAGCGGCAGTGAGTATCAATGTCAAGCACTTTGTGATCAAGATGGGGTGAGTGTATCTATATATTAACACAATTCTCTGATGTCGGTAGGCTGTATGTTTTAAACATATATGTAAGGAAGAGAATGGGAATGTATGTTATTCCAGAGATTGTTTTATCTCCATGGATGCAGTGATGAAAAGTCACAGTAGTGTATGTTTCTATAGTTTGCCTTATCCTATCCATTGGTTTTCAAGTGTTGTACAATCATCAAATTTAAGATAAAACATTACCCAAGAACACATTCTTCAAAGTTCCTTTTTTGTGTTGCATGTTTAATCCTTCTATGTTTGGGAGTGTGTTTGACTGTTTTCCCATAAAAACAAACCAGAGTCATTGCAAGGTAACATAATCAATTTGATGTTATTTAAAATCATATTGTTTTGCACTATTAAGTGTTTAGTGTATTTCTTAGTTTCTATCTTGGATCCTTACTTTTTATTTTGCAATTTATACTTTGGCTATTGTTGGATGTAACTGGGATGCTGTGTACACAATTTTGTTCCACCACATGCGGTGCGAATAACAAAAAAAGAACCTTGAACTTGACTTTAATTTTTATTTGGTTTGTATAGATGTTTATCATGTCAACTAAAGGTGAAAATAGTACATGTGTTCATTCATTCATTCAATCTTTATTTATTCATGCAGAACTCCAGAAAAACTCTTTCAGAGATTCAGATTCAGAGATTATTTATTGTCATTTCACCACATGTGGTACATGTGGTGGAACGGAATTGTGCACACAGGGTCCCAGTTACATCTAATAATAAAATGTAAACAATAAACAGTAATAAGATCTAAGATATGATAGGATCTTATATTGTGTCTGAAATAAAGTAAATGATGATGATGATATGAGCTAAGATAAACATCAACTAAAAGTACGCTAAGCACTAACAGCATGAAAACAATAAACACACTGCGCCGAACAGCAGCACGAACATGAGGCTGTGTGAGCAGATGAGCACGCATGAACACAGCAACATGAAACAGATCAGCAGCAACATGAAACAGATCAGCAGCAACATGAAACAGATCAGCAGCATCACAATGTGATTTTTTTTTTCACATTGATTATTCTGGTTAGAGATTCATGAGTCTAACAGCTTCAGGGTAGAAGTTGTTCCTAAGTCTAGTGGTTCTACACTTAATGCTCCTCAACCTCCTTCCTGAGGGGAATGGGGCAAAAAGTGTGTGTGCTGGGTGAGTGGGGTCCTTCATGATGCAAAAAACTGACTTCTACAGTAGGTCCAGTGCACACAGTTAGATGAATGCATTCACCTCGGCTTTTATCCAGAAGAGAGAACATTGTTTGAATTGTTTGTGTTTTTGCTTCATGCCTTGACATAAAGGAGTAGAAGAAAATACAACAAACAAGGCACGAATGGTGTAATCAAATGAAACCCAGAAGCTTGAATAGCTGCCTGTATTTTAAAGCAGTTGTGTAAACAGTTTAGGGTTCCTGATTCCAGAGAGAGTACTTTTTATGTTTGTAGATGCAGTTCAGGTAAGTTACTTTTTTTTTTTGCATTAAGTTTTGACCTAAAACTTTAAACAAACACTCATTTATGTGCTTTCTTATTTAACCATAAATACATATGTGAGTTAATTTTTATTTTTTGTATTTTATTTTGTATGACGTTACTCAATTGTCAACCTGTTCATGATTTGCTATGAGTCTCCCCACCAATATGGATCTGTCTCAGAAAATTATTGCCTAAAATAAGCTCAAAAAATGTATTTGACAATTGTTTCTTTCTTCTGTTAAACTCAACCTGCATTGATCCATGACTCCATACTTCTGAACTGCATCATCAAAGCCCTGCATGTGTTGAGTAAAAAAAAAGTGAACTGTTCTTTTTATTTCTCCCTATTTTAAATGTTACTAGTTCTGTCTCATCTCTTGATAAAAAAACAAAAAAAAATGCTTTATCCTCTTTTTAAATGCTACAAATGTGAACCCACGTGAATAAGAATTTGCTGTACCAGATGGACAATCTCTCCTACTTGAACTTATTTGGAGAATGCTGATGTAAAACTTTAAAAATTGCACAAGTTGCAATAAGTAGGAGGTTCAATCAGCAGAAGCACACGGAGTTGCTGCAGATGAGATGGTGGCCATGCAGTTTGCCTCCATCCACAAATAGTCTCAGATTTACTAGCAGGCAGATTGAGTTAGTTTGGCATTGAAGTCAGAGTACATGTGACAAAGAATCAATATAAGAGCAAGCCTGATGCAGACAATAAAAGCTTATATCTGTGGTATTAAAGTCTAGACTGGTCTCATTTTGTTGGGAGCTTTGCTGCAGCTGTCACACACCTCTGAAGACCAGAGGAGGAACACACAGCAGGGGAGGAACACACATTGAGACAGCTCTGAAGTTACTGAAGCTGCAGCCTTTCTATTCTCTTTGCCCTCTGGAGGCAGTTCTACATGATTGATTTTTACATTATTTTAATCCAAAGGGCTGACTTGTTATTGGAAAGAGAAGTGATGGATCTGAATGCGCAACAGTGGCCATTGATCACCGGGAGAGTGGAGGCCGGGTCGTTTTCCTGAAAGTTTCAACTGGAACACACGAACACTCTTGCGTCGTGTGTGTGTTTGTGTGTGTGTGTGTGTGTGTGTGTGTGGTGTGTGTGTGTGTGTGTGGGCTGCCTGCACTTGGCACTGGTTTGCTGAAAAGTTTATTATCCTTTAACTGAAATGGACTCTGTCCATGCGCAAACAGTCCTGCGCCAAATCCTCGTGCTGACTATAATGTTTCATTTCGTGAAGCTGCGCAATATTTGTAAGCAGCTCACAGATTACGCTGGGATGAAATGGGTTGGAGACGACGCACGCAAGAGAGAGCAGAGGCAGCAAACGGAGGTAAGCGCGCGCTCGAGCTGAGAAGCCTTTTTTTTTTTTTATCCTGGAACGCGCACAGACAGAGCGCTGCTGGTGAGACAGCAGACAGGAGGGAGCAGGAGAGAGGGACGCACAACTCAAACGCGAGCACAGCTTCTCTTGAGTTGAAGTATGGTGCCAACAGATTTTTGTGTTCTAGTTTGATCAAAGTTTTGGATCATAGCGCGTGAGAGGAGAAATATCCCCCAGGAGGACCCGGGTGCTCATGGATTTTGGAGAGACAGTGCTTTAGTGCAGCGGAGCCAAAGAAAGATCCAGTCATGATTTGGGTACTTTTATCATTTTTCATGTTGTGTGTAGCTGGGAACAGGACAGCGGACCTTGTGCCGTTCTTTCATGGACATGTTTTTGAGAACTCCCCTCCTGGCTCGCGGGTCAACGGACTCAGCGTGCCGTTAAAGCGGCTGAACCCGAACCGGCCGTGCGGCACCGCGGAGAGCGGCTCAGCGGCGACGCACTTCAAACTCTTGGGTGAAGGCGGCGAGAATTTCCGCGTCTTTGCGCACCACAAACGGGGGCACGTTTTACTGAAGACTTCCCGGGTTTTGGACCGGGAGGAGCGGGCTGAGTACGCTCTGGGTCTGGGTTTGTGCTGCGGTCAGTGCGCCGAGCTCCCCTCCTGGGACGCATCTGAACTTGTAGACGAGGTCGCGTCCATCAAGGTGGACGTTCTGGACACCAACGACCACCAGCCCACTTTCCCTAGTTCCGACGTGAAGCTGAGTCTGGATGATGCCACCGCGCTCCGAAACGCGGTGTGCTCGTTCAGCGCGCGGGACGATGACAGCGGTAAGAACGCAGAGCTCATTTACTTCACAGAGCCCAGGAACGGGACTTTCTATGCGGTGCCCAAAACGGGGGACATCCTCCTTGTGGACTCCATCCTCGGTCTGGATGAACCGATAAAGTTTCAAGTTTTTGCGCGGGATCGCGGGTGGCCCCCGCGCACTAGCCAAGGCATCTCAGTGGAAATAAACCCCCGGCAGTGGCCCGTGGCTCCCTCAATGACTCCCCAACCCGGAGAGAGGAAACTAAACCCGCAAAGTGATGCGGGAGCGCGAAGGTCCAGGTCCGTGCCGGAATCAGACAGCCCCGTTTTCATCAGCGTGTCCGAGGACGCGGGGATCGGTTCGGTGGTGATGAACCTGAACCCTGTCAGGTTCCAGTCGGCCACGTTTGAGCTGGTGGAGCCGGACACGGAGAGCTGCCCCGTGAGTGTGAGCCGCGACAGCGGGGATATAGTCATCCTGCGGAGACTGGACCGGGAGACCGAACCTCTGCTGGAGATCACCGTCAGGGTGCAGGATAAAAGAGGTGGGCTCAGGCCAATTACACATATGTGCGTGCGTGTGTAAGAGAGTGAGCGAGCCGGAGTGTTTGTGGGTATGAGACGCACAGGAGCGCGTGGCAGTGGGTGTGCGCTTTTCTTCTGTGCGCTACCTCCATGGGAAGTTGCGCAAAAATCCGATCTAGAGACATTTGGCTGAATTAGAAACTTATATTCGTGCATAAATGTGCACGATGTGAGACCATGCAGTTATATATATATATATATATATTAATTAATTGAAACAAAATTAATAAACATCCTGATTGAAGTTTTAGAAACAACCTGGTTTTAGAATTAGAATTTATTTTTCAGACCACCAGATTTTTAAAAAACGCTTAATGCAACATAAACTTTCCTCTGTTGGTTTTTCTGCGCGCACCATGAATTACGCACAGAATGAGGACAGGTGACGGTGAGCATCAGGTCGGAGCGCAGCCTCAGTGGGTCCAGCACAATCTGGTCCCGACTTATTTTAACTCGACAATAACTCGCTGCTGCAGCAGACTGATTTTTATGTCCCTGCCTCCTCTTCTTTTGGGTTTGTGCCACTGATTTTCAAGAGCTGGCTTTTATGAGTCAGCCTCCTCAGCTGTTCCGTATCCGCGCATCTAATGACCCAAACATGCACGTGTCACAATTGTCCCAACGTGTTTGAGGTTAAACTGGGTGACGACATCAGCTCTGATGATGGTGGTGATTCACGCGCTCAGATAAACTGGGGCAAAGTGTCTGCCGCTGATGCTGATGCTGCCAGCAGCAACAGATGCTGGGATGACAGGGGAGACGCACGGCGCGTAACCGCCATCAGAACAGCAGGTTCATTATCACACAGAGAGCAGAGAGACAAAGCAAACATGTGGACGGGTTGCCTTTAATACAAGTCTGTGCTGTTCTAATTGATTGTGAGCAAAAGTTAGACTGTATCAAAGGTGAGACTGCACCTGTGCTGGAACGTGAGTTCTCCACAAAGACACTTGTTCCAGTTCACAGCAGCTGACTGCAGGAGCCACACAATCAATGTGAACCATTGCTTTTTGGTAATGGGAGTCATCCTGAAGCAGGGGATGAACCTGCTGTTGGCACATACTGAAATATTAAGCATGTAATTAAACACACAGACATTGAATAAATTATATGTTATGCGATTGCTGCAGGAGAGTTCCCAGATAGCTACATCAGCTGGGACTGTTTTTTAAAATTATTTATTTATTTAAAGGCATTTAATTTAAAATTTGACGTCCACTTTGTCATGCAGGATACATTATTGTAGGCAGGTATCCAGACTTTTTTTTTTTTTTTTGTAATTAAAATAAGTACCCTGAACTGAAATATGTTGGTGTTTCACCTTTCTGCTGAGTCTAACAATTTATCTTGACAGAATGAGAAATTATGTTTTATAATGGATACCAGAATCAAATACACACATGGATGATTTAATAAGATTTTTATTTTGTTAAAAATGACATTTATGAAGTCTGAAATTAATGTTTGCATTTTGAGATCAAAGGCACATCCCATATTGTTGTTGTGTCCAAACTCTCCTCGTCACTCATTTGTTTCTGATGAATCACGATGGCTGCCTCTGTGTTTGTGTTGTCTGAGTTTCTCCCTGACAACAAGCAGGTCAATACAGACTTCCAAGAGGAGGATCAATGGAAGTATAGCCTAAATGGTTACATTAAATAAAAGTCCTGAAAGCCATTTGGATTTTGACGTTAAGGTTGGAAGGAAAAAAAGCTGAAGTTTGAAAGTGTCTTCATGGCCTGACTTGATTTTGTTGAGGACTTGTTTTCCTGGTTGTGATAGGACATTTTCATTTAAAGGTTTAGTATCGGGGCAAGTTATGTCCCAAGTGTGGGGAACAGCATCCGTTTGGTTGACTTGGTGGAAGTCTTTTAATCCATGTGAAGCGGAGTCCCGCCAGAGTCTTGACCTCCCTCCATCTGCTCCCATTATCCCTGTAATCCCATCTCATTCTCACTGTCTCTCTCTCTCTGTTGTCTTCCTTTCTCTGCCTTAGCACTTACTTTTTATTTTGACTCTCACTTTATGGATTTGGCACGTCTGAAAGTTGTAGAAGAGAAGGATTCTGTCATGGACAAACAAAAATGTATGTGTGTAAAGCTGAAAAGTGTGCTGAGTCAGGATAACCTACATAACTACTGTATTACATGCGTGACCAAACCAATCATTTCACTTGAGCACAAACTTTATTTTCTTTTATGGCATGACAGCCCCCTCAGGACTGATGAAATATGCCAAAGCAAAGTCAAGTTTTCAGTTTTTAAGTTACTTTTAATGCACTGCTGCACTTTCTTTAAATCAGGTTAATGAGACAGTCTGCTGCTTTATTGTTCTAACATAAACATGTGTGGATTTGTGCACGAATAATTAGAGTTTTCTATCACAATCCATTTATACAGGTCCTTTAATACAGTGCCAGCCTCGGTAAGAGCATCAAGCATGTGCCCCATTAATTTCCCCCAAAAGGTTGTTCCTCCTCCTCTAAAACGGCCAAGGCTGTTCTGACTGCAGCAGCTCCTGCTGGCATCGTTATTAAAGAAATGATTAATTTTGTTAATTAGTTAAATGATCAATTTAGTAAGTTAGATACAGATTTTTTTAGTTGTTTAAGATGTACATGTTACTCATCTTTTTATAACTTAAAAAAAATAATAGCTTGTCTCTTCTGTCTCAATTAATGTGTAATCTGGCATATCCAAGCTATGGCAGCCCGAGTTGTGTATCAAAATAAAACCAATGTTAGAGACGTTTTACTAATGTTTAAAATACACTTTCTCAGTAAGTATTGGAACTGAATATGAAAGTACAACAAAAGCCTAGGAAGAAACTCGTCTATTAAGGAACCACAAAAGCCATATTTAAAAAAAAAACCAATATGTATCATAATCTACTTGTATTGTGCAATTGTGTTCTAATGCAGCTGAATCAAACTCGATACAAAAAAAAAAAAAAAAGTTTTACTCTTTAAAAAAGTACAACTTAAAAAAACACTGCAGTATTTCCTCCTGGCCTGGCTTTGCTAACAAAGGTCTAGGGTTGGGACAGCCCATGTCACCAGCAAGCGGATTCTGGAGAGATAAACTTTGCAGCAGTGGCTGCAGCTCACTGACTGGTCTAGGGGTTGAAGCAGGGTTTTATTTTTATTTTTTGGTCTTCTTCTTCTCTTTTCCTCTTGGCTGGTGGTGGATGCAGACTCAAAAGCTGCCCTTGTTGGTGGTGGTGTGCTAGCTTGTCATGTCAGCTGCTAGGGAGGACCATGTGTGGGTGTCAATGTAACCTCTGTTGTAATGTCCAGAGGACAGTTCTACATGCAATACAACCGGCAGGCAGTGGTCTTCCATTATGAACACGTGCACAGTCATGCCTGAAGCAGCATGGCCTCAATACTATTGATATCTGTCTGCTGCAGGACCGAGACATTGGTTCTGTACCGTACTTTTTGCCGTATAGGTTGCACTTTTTTTGCATAAATTTGCATGCCTTGCGACTTATATAGTAAAGTGACTTATTTCTGTTTTTCTCCATATTTATAACCCATTTATTGGCTGAGATCGGACAATTTAATTCATTCTGACATGGAAAATATTGAACACTACCATTTTCAGCCACTAGAGGGCCCTCGAGTAATATGGAAACCAAGTGTCTGATTAATAGGTAAAAGTGGCTATTAATGAGACCCTTGGCTTGCCATACCAGCCACCTTCATCTCGTTCCGGAACTCCTGGATCAAACATCAAATCAGCTGCATATTGGTGCGCTGCCCAGGAGAAATGCAGCTGATTTGACCAATAAAGTGCATTTATTAATGAAAAGTTAAACTGAGACACACCTTTGCTATAATGCTGAGCACACAAATAATTGTTTTTAAGTGTTAATCTTGTTAAATTTTGACGAAATGCACAGGGAATCCTCCCTCTGCACGCTCCCGCAGTTGCGAATCAGTTCTTGAAATGCAGCTAATATGACCATTAAAGTGTATTTATTAAGAAAAAGTTAAACTGAGACACACCTTTGCCATAATTTCAAGCAAACAAATAATTGTTTTTAAGTGTTATTCTTGTAAAATTCTTGTTAAAGTCCTCCCATGCACGCTCTCGTGGCCACCATTTGGCAGTCAATCGATTTTTGGCAAAACACCAGCCCACGTTTCCGGGTGGTCAGCGGTGACGCATAATAGATGCAACTTATTTATGTTTTTTTTTTCCCACTTTATTAGACATATTTGGACTGATGAGACTTATACGGCGGAAAGTACGGCAGTTACTCCAGTGGATGTTAAGAATGGAGCAGAGCAAGAGCTGGTGGAAATGTTCGAGGAGTTAGAGGTGCCTTTGTTATGTCACCCGTGTCTCTGAGCCAGACACAAGGATGGCTGCTACCACCACTCTGTTGGACCTTTGTCCCAGTCCTTAGGTCTTTGTTGGACCAGATGTTTGTATAGTCTTCCAAAGACACAGTTTGCTTGTTGTTGATTTCTGTGTTGAGTCAGTACCACATCTGCTTCAATTAAAGAGAAAAAGCCTGAGCTCTGCAAGGAACAACAGAGGTGATGATTCTCAGAGGGACCAGAGGTGTTAGCAAACCTTTCACATTACAGGAAGTCGATAGTGAAATTCAAAAGGGAAAACTCACCCAGTTCCACTTAGTTCCTGCATAAAACCAGACACATCACTTTGCTGCTACAGCTTTTAGATGTAGCTATCTGAGCTTCATGAATTCATCATGAATTACAGAGTTGTTACTGACACTAAATGAAGTTCTTTTTTTTTTTTAAATGTTATGGCTTTTACAGTCACCTCTATCTTGTTGGTAAAATGCTGTAAGATGTCTAGTAATTTAAAAGTGTCAAATTAGTTTGAGACAATTATTGTATAATTAAATGTCTGTTTTTTTGTTGCTGGGTTTTTTTTTTTGCTTGAAAAATTAGCCCAAAAGAAATTAAGTTAGTGACCAATATGAT